GGCAGGCAGCACGGACTGAGGTCCGCCAGTCCTCCCCGCGGCGTAAAAACTTACTCCACTCGTAAAAACTTATTTTTTGGGTGAAAACGTACGAGGGTATGTGGCATCTTACGTAGTTCACTTCTTGGTGTTCGGCCAGGTACGTGCGGCACAACCACTTCACTCGGGTTTATTTTCTAACTTACGATTATTGATAAGGAAGGAAACCACTTGAAACCTGGCATGACTCCACCCCGTTTAGCGGTCCACTGTCTTTGTGCTAGATCCCAACTGGCTGGTAACTTGCAAAAGCTGATCTATAAAGTATGAGTTGTCATCTTTGTTACCTCGTTTGCTTTGGTATTTACCAACTCAAACAATGACAGGGATCGATAGTACCAAATGCTCAATGAACAGTGGAGTTTCTCGGCAGCAGAAATATTAAATAGATTTGGCTTCAGTATTAGATGATAATGCATATGGGCTCCAGCGGTTGCCCCCATTTCACGATTACCTGGTAGGATAACAAACACTAATTCTACTAGTAGAGTTTGTTTCCCTATTGCAATGGGCTTGTTACTTGCTTACTTCCTTGTGTTCTCGGGTAAAGAAAACACAGATCTTAACAGAACAATGGTATTTCTCCCCTGACTGCAAATGCCAAACTGTAAAAGATACTGTAATAGCAGTGTGCTATTGCACAGGGGAAAAAAAGGCTCTGTTAACAGGTGCCTTCTCTTGGGTTAGTGGAGGTCTGTGTCGGGCATTATGGCCAGATTCCTTCTTGGATAACAGGTAAGTCTTAGGGCTTTCTAGGTTGAAGGAAAAATAAAAACAAACAACAATCAATAGACTGTAACTTCCACAAATGAAGCACAGTATTATATGTTCCTCCCAACAAACGCTGTTGTTGTGGTATTCCTACCACATTGACCCTCCTAGCAAACCAGGCTGTTTGAGTTCTCTTGTTTCTCAGTAGCCTTCAGGGAAGACTTAGGAAGCTTAGTCTGATCTGAACCTACGTACATGTTCAATCTGTGCATCATCCTGTAGCAAGTTCTCTAGACTTTGTGCGAAATGTTAGTATCATCAAGATTCTTTCTGTTTAGCACAGGGAAGATGAAACAATTTTTCCCATTAGGTTTCTCTGAACTGTTAATGACTTCCCATGTTTTCATAATGTAATTCTTCCTCTTTCCACCCATCGCCTCCCTTGCTTGCATCTGTGTCCAGTGGATCCATCTTTCTTCCTCTTTCTGGACCTGCTGCTACCTGTGCCTGTGCTCCCCTCTCCTATCTCCTCAGGGTAATCAGAAATGTAGTAGAGCCTATGAGATGCAACCACAAACTGCCTTTAAAGAGTAAGTGAACAGTTACTCGTCCAGCTGCCAATTTGGAGTCCAATCCACAGGGACTTCAAAATGTCTTACCTAATTCTATATAGTTACTGTGCTGTTACAACATATGCTCACTGTGCATCACTTTGCATTTAGCAGTATTGAATATTTTCTCCCAGAAATCATTCAAGATGGTGATTCTTTCTCCATGTCTGCAGAGCTTTTTCAATAAATAACTTAGGAATATGTCAAGGAACAGAAATCGTAGTCTAACCCCTTTTGTGACCTTACTCGTAAACTCCCTTCCTCAGAAAAAATGTTACGTTGTTTCAGGTTTTTAATCCGATTGCTACTACAAGAATGAATTTCCCCCTTTATTATGGTACAAGTTAGCTTCTTTGGGAGTTTTCAGTAACGGACTTTGCTCAAACCTGAATTTTGAAAAATCTTGTAACAGTCAACCAGATCACCTGTAGCCATGCAGGTGTTAGTTCTTTCAGATATTTAATTAAGCTTGTCTTCACTCTTCAGAAGTGGTGTTTCATTCTTCCCCATTTATTGTGAAGGTGATAGACAAGATCAAGTGATACGGAAATTAGATTCCCAGGACTCTGTTCAGTGGATACTACCACTCCAGTTCAGCAGACCCTACCCTGGCAGTTAGGGGATTTTCATGGAGCCAGATCTGTGAGCAGAACAGATCCTAGTTTTGCTTCTTGTCGTGAGGTCTGAGGTGCACCTCATCAGGTGCTGTTTACTTCCTGTCTAGCCCTGGTAGCTTCTTACAGATTGTCTGAGGTGCACCTCATCAGGTGCTGTCTAGCCCTGGTAGCTGCATGTCAGATGCAGCACTTGATTTCCTAAAAACTAATTTTACATAATAATTTTTGAAGGATATAATAAGATGAGCAGTTCGAATTTCTTTTAACCTTTTCTGTAAAAATCGGTACAACTTTGTTGTACTTCTGCTTTTGAGAAGTTTTAAAGTTTAGTAAGTTCCCTTATTAACTTGTCTTTAAGAAATTCACTTATTAACAATTGGGTTTGGGGTAGGCTTGTCCCTGGGAAAGAATGATTCCAGGATAATTCCTCACTAATCTCTTCTGTTGTGGATATTTAAGTAGTAGCTTGTTTTGCATTTTCAAAAGTGTTTTTCTCCTCTGTACTCCTACTTCCTACTCCTTTTCCTATAAGTTGGTGGTGTTATTTATTGTAAACTGTTACTATAATTTGGCCCTGTTCTCTATTGTATGTATTTCATGCTTATGATGTGTGGGATGGTCAGTGAAACATGATAGTATTATACAAACTATGTCTTCACAGACCAAAGGCTGTAATTCTTTCTTTCCCCCTTATGTTCCAACAGACTCCAGTATTCTACAGGGCACGAAAATCTGCAGTGTCAATGAGAATATCGTCACAGAATAGTTTTCCTTTTAATTGCTAATATACTGCATTAATTTGGGACTTGGCAAGATGCATTCATTATGTACCTATCGTCAAGTGATCGCCCATGAGAGGAATGGGTGGAAAGACGGAACAGTCAATAAACACTTTATTGTTGAGTTTGTTTACTTATGAGAAAATCATGGATCTTCTGTCTAGCTTCCTGTTGCAGCATTTTATGTAAAAAGCTGCTGAAATTTATAAATAGTATCTTTCAGCCTTGCTAGGAAGGTAGTATGTAGCTGAATCTAGATGGCAAAAGACATGTAACTTTCAAAGAATTTTCAGAAGTTCTTTGCAACCGGCCACTAAAAGCTGTAGCTGGCCCATAACAAAAATATTCCGTAAATTTGGATGCCTTCAAAAAAATCAGGCTTTGGGCTCTGTGCCTAATGTCCATTTGTAGTCCTGGATTTGCCCCTGGAGTGTTTGTTTGAGTAACAGGTATTGTCATGTATTTTGTGAAATGTGTATTAGCTTTTGGCTTTATTTTTTAGGTGAATTTTTGTCTTTAAAAAGCTATCCTGGTGTTTGGTTTAAAAGATGTTTGATAGGACGCAACCCATCATCTAGTTTTGTTTGTCTGTGACTTACAAAAAAATTTCTTCTCTGTTCATAGCTTTGTTCTTAAGACATTTTAGCCATGACTAAGAGAGAGGCAGAGGAGCTGATAGAAATAGAAATCGATGGAACTGAGAAACAGGAATGCACTGAAGAAAGGTATGTACTCGCTTTGCTTTTTGGTGTCCTTAGGCTGCAATTTATTTATTTATTATCTTTAATTGGTTTCAGATTTGTGGGTGAGCACACTGAGTTTGGTTATTCAGATTTATTATTGGGTATTTTGTAACGCTTCAGAGATGGCCACGGTTATGAAATAAGTCCAAGTGTTTTCTAGCTAGACGAAAGAACTAACTTTGAACTGGCAGAAGTAGCGGGCTCATTGTGATCTCCATAATCCTGCTTTTGATTGTTTCCGCAGTTTTTCAGCTTTCTTGCTGGATACAAAGTTCTTCGTTTTGCCTGTGCTCTCTTCAGTTTTTCTGCTTCATGTGTAATTAAATGGTGGTTTTCTTGAAGTGGAACTGTAGCCACTATAGGAAACTAGTATAGTGCTATCGTATTTTTCAATCTTAATTGATTAAATCCCAAACCGTTTTGTTTGTCTCTTGCTAAATTCTTAGTAGTTCTCTTCCCCTACTCTCGTGTATGTAGGACTATGTCTACATGTACATGCTGCAAACCTTTCAGCTGTGCATCCCTCTGTAATTGAGATGAACCTTGCAGTTTCTCCAGTCCATTGCTTTACTGTTATACAGGGTCATTTGTTTTTAACAGAGCAGAAATGATGTTCTATATATTGACTATATGTATATTGTTAGGGCCATTGAAACCATAGATATCGAAGTCTGATAGCTTTTGGCTAAATTACCTCAACCTGTTTTTTTCTTCCTAATGCTTCCCTCCTAAATTTTACAACCGCTTTTGAAAGCACAGAGAAGGCAGTTCATGTGTTGGATAGAAATAGCTGAGGCTGGTAGGTGACCTGCTCCTTAAAAACATGTTTTGGAGAACTGATTCAAAACTACTGATTAATTTCTTCTTATTCTGAGCTCTTTATATATTTTCACTACTTACAAACTGACGGTGTCTGTATACTTTATGATTTCCTTCTGTGTAAATGTAGGGACGCCAGATGTCTAAGGTAATTGTAAAGATACAGGTCCCATAACATTGATGTTTCTGAAAGCCTACACCGATACTGTCACCATTTTAGTGCAGGGCAACCATGACATGCGACTAATGTTTCCTTCAGGGCTCCATGTTGCTGTAGTTCCTTCTGGTTGTTTCTTGTATGCATTAAGCTTATCCTTGAGCTGACTGGTTAAAAGACATGGACAATTACTCTGCATAAGAGCAGATTTATTTTTTTTTCTTCTATGTTCCCCATCTGTTAAGTTTCTGTATTTGTTTTTACCTTTTAAATATATATATTAAACATATATACATGCATATATATAAATATCTTTTAAATACAGTCTAGGAAAGGAAAATAGAATTAGTTTACTCTACATGCAAGTTAATAATGTATAATATACTAATCATGGCTTAATCTCTTGAAAACTGATCTGAAAATAATCCTGGTATTTAACCTAGCTTTTGAACTGCGAGGGGGGAAAAGAAGAGTTACACAACGGTAGAATCAATGGGACCAAATTTAGTAATTCACTCTCTACTCAAGCTAAGAGCTTTTCTGGATGGTATTTAGATTTTAGAGTCAGTATTACCTTTTATGTAGGTTACCTCTAACTTTTTTTAAGCTTTTGTACACCAACTGTACTGCATAAGCTGTGCTAACGTGTAGGTAATGATTTGTTGTATTAATTTGGTATTTAAGCATCGTTGAGCAAACCTACACCACAGCAGAATTTGTGAGTCAAGCTATTGACATCAATGAACCAATTGGAAATCTTAAGAAGTTGCTGGAACCCAGACTGCAGTGTTCCTTAGATGCACATGAAATATGCCTGCAAGATATCCAGGTAAATTGAAATGTTATGAAAGATTTAACATCTTGATGGAGAACCATTTTACATACTTTGTTCTTTTCTTCCATTGTTTGTGGATTTCATGCTTCATTTGGTATATTAATTGTAATTAAGCTTTTAATTTTATTTCTGGTTCATTCTCATCTATTTAATATGTACTAATTCAGTGTGACTAGAATAAAAAAAATTTGGGGGTTCCTGGGGTGAGAGTAAGAAAGCAAAAATAAAAAAATACCCTTGCAAGTGAATGAAGAATGAGGGCAACAACAACACTATCTTCTCTTGAGGTAGCCCACAACATTTGTTGCTGCCTGAACTTATGTGAGTCTAATCTTCTTTTGAATCTGAATAAAGCGAGAAGGTTTTTATATTGTTCAGGTGCATAGATAGCAAAACATCACTCAAGAAAGTTTGCCCTCAACACTATTTCTGCAGGCATCACCATGTGTTAGTGTAACTGTTTCACGTTGTGTTTAGCTGGATGTTTTATTTGTAGTCATAATCGAACATATGTGGCTTTTCCAGAAACAACAGGGATAATGCTGCTTTAAAGACAATATCTTTTTATGTGTTAAAAACTGGGAAAAGGAACTGTAGATACTTTTCGCAAAGTGAAGGTACTTCCAGGTTTTGCATTGCTTTTTTAGTTTAAAAAATGTCCCTGTAAGTGAAACTAGCTTAAATAGAAGAGTGTGGTGAGTTTCAAATTCTGATGAAGTTCTTTGTCATGTGCTATGTTTGCATAATACTAAAAATATTTGCGTGCTTCTTCAGAAAATTTGCTGCAGGCACTTAAGTATTTTTGAAGTTTAAAATACAATAGTAGTTTCTTATAACTGTGATATTTTCTGATAAAAATATGATACGTATTTTTAATATTTTTTTTTTGCTTTTATCAAGCTGGACCCAGATCGAAGCCTTTTTGATCAAGGAGTAAAAACAGATGGAACAGTGCAACTCAGTGTACAAGTAATATCTAGGCAAGGTAAGCAGTTATGTTTGTCTGTCGTACAGATAAATTAATGTTGTAGGAGCACTTGTGAGCAAAACCAATCCCCTACTATTTCTAGTGGTAAAATTGAGAAAAATCACTGAATGATCACATAGCTTCAGAATATCTCTTTCATTGTGTGCTGTGGTTATAAGTTGTAGTAATTAAAATAAATGTCATTGATCTATTCAAAATGTCTTTTATAGTAACTTCATATCAATTTCTAAAAAGCAAACCAAATAAAACTGGGTCAAGTAGTGACAATTAAAGTATGAGGCTCTCATTAAGGGTGAGTAATGACTCATACCAGGCCGAGTATCTAAGCAGGCAAAAGATTTTTGTCCAGGTAGGTGACAGTTTCATCTTTGTGAGGCAAGTGAGCTTGTGTGCTTGATGAACGATTAGATTATGAGAGTATATGTAGCTAACTAAAAATTGGTATGAAAGGCTAGGATCGCTATCTATTGTCTGTTTTCTTTGGATGAGAATTCAGAGTAAACCATTGTGACAAAGGAACTTTAACCAGGTGGGTAGGGATTTTTTGATGTATAGTTTTTTATTTGTATTATCAGGTATGACAGGATTTCCCTTTGGTGAATCCTCAGGAATGAGTAGCTTTATTGTTTTACTTTTTGTCCTGTTCTTCTCTTTTGCCTCCTGCATATGTCTGAGGGGGAGGACTGCCACCACTCACTGAAGACAACATTCATATTGGGCTCTGGGAACAGCTACATGTTTGCCATATTTTCAAATAAACAGTGGCAACAGGTTCCTACTGGAGTAGGGTATCTTTGATTATCTGTTTTGAGTTATGTCAGCAAAGCAGATTAGCAAAACTTGGGGACCACATTTCGTTTTCTTGTGGCTTCAGCATAGGGTAGACAGAAGAAAGCCTTTCTGTTTTGTATTAACAGTATTAAGTAAGATTTCTGATTTGCATTTAATGCTGAGTGTCAGGTGACTACTGCTAGGTTGAATCCTCAGCTCCCCGTATGTAATGGGGATTGAACTACCTTTGCGGTTTTGAAAGTGGAATAGAAATATCGTTCAGGGTACTAGAATAACTGCTCTTAATTCGTGCCCAGTAACTTGTAGTGTGCAGTGCTCGGAGCTCCAGTTTCAAAAAGATGTGGGTAATAAATATCTTCACTGTTATCTTCTGTTTTCTTCCTGAGTTTGGGGTTGGTTTTTTTTTTCTTCTTTAATGTAAAACTGAGGTGCATGATCATATAGCACAAAGAGCTTTCTCTCTGTCTCTCTCTCACACACCTGAGTATTAAGTACTTTGATACAACTTCGGAACGATCCTCAGTGTTGTTTTTCAGGCCATGATACTCGACACTTAAGCAACTCCTAACAAATCCATCTGTTGAAGGCAAGTAAAGTATGGCAGGAGAGAATATCAGAAAACAAATAGCAGGGATATAAATAATAAAAGGAAGCTCTTTAGATCACTAGCAGAGTAACAAAGTGGACTTGTTACTCTGACTGCAGTGACGGTTTAAGCCAGAGAGAAAAAACAGCCTCTTATGCCATCTGCGTGTTTTTCTTCTGTGGATGAGGTATTGAATGATTCTCGGTTTATTTATTTTTCCACAACTTGTATAGTATATAGAGTTCAGCTAGCAGTAATCAATGATGCTAATCCTTGTGATGGTTGAAACTCACATATTTCTTAAGAAGCGAGCTGTTATGTTGCTTCATGTTCTATCGAATTTTGATAAGCCATCTGTAAATTCAGAGGAATAATAGTCCATTGTAGTTCTTTTATATTAAAATACCTTTGCATGAAACACTATAAGTTACAGCAGATAAAATATCAGACCTGTTTGTTCTTTTTACTAGAAAGACCATTCTGTCAGTCCACCTTGCCTTAACTCCTTTCTCCTGGTTTGAAGAATGGAAATGTATATGGTTTTCCTGCCATTGTGAGAACAGCTATTTGGAGTGCAGCCCTGTTCTGTACTGCTCTGAACTAAGCCTCTTGCAAGTGGGTGGAGATCAGAGTAACTGCATTGCATCATAAGTCAAAGAATTTTAAAAAAACTTTCATTTGGAAGACCTCCATAGCAAATATTTTGGTCTTTTTTTTTTTATTTTTTTTTAATCCAGACACAAGTTATAGCTGATCAAGCCTTTCTCCTGCCTGTCAGGCTATAGATAATATCAATATAATAGATAATATAAATAATATATTTTTCCATCCTTAAGTTGTTTAGATTGATAGGTGGTTTCTTTCTTGAGATATGATAACATCATAAAATTGATTCTGACCCTACTTCTAGTTGCTTGCTTTTTTTTTTTTTTTAAAGGAAAGAAATTAGTAGTGTGGAGGGAATATAAACTTTTCTGACTGTAAATTTCAGTGCTGGTTGTGTGCCATAAGTTGAAATCTTTTTTAGGAAAACTTCAGAGGTGGAAGTTCTGGCTGGCAGTCTGTCACCGGAAGGAATCCTTTATTTCTTTTTCTACTTCCTTAATCACCAGAGTAGAAGGAAGGTTGAATGGAAGTACCTGCACACTTTTTTTCAGATGAACTGTGGGAGACAGATACTAGATTGCTGCTCGAATTCCAGCACTTTCAATCTTTGACAGTCATTGGTTTGAATGATAGGAGGAGAGAGACCTATGTTATGGAGGTGGGCAATGTAGTTTTGCTTTATATTTCTCATTTGCTGAGTCTCTGAACAGGTAGTCCAGATAACATGCTGTTCAAGTCGTTCACATGCCACATACACAAACTTAAACGAGTCAAGGCCATGTTGGTGAATGAAAGTGTCTGTAGCTGCTGTTTGTGTTCAGCTCAGTTCTCTGTTATGCACACCCAAAGCACACCTGCAAGATTAACATTTTCCCAAACAAATGCTCTTCCACCTACTTTTTAAATGCTTGACTGACATATGAGGTTAGTGTCTAGCTACTTTGAGAATTTCTGAGCATGTGTGTGTGGCTGTACTATATTTACACAGATATTGGGACTAAGTGGTGGTTAAGCACAAAAGGTTCTTCGGATTTAGGTGGCTGACATCTGAGTCCTGTTTTAAGTGTGTAACTCCTCATTGCAATAACTAGGCTTTTATTATTTTTATTATATAAAGGAATGGTTCACAAATGTAACGAAACATACTGATTTAGATTAAACGTGGAGTTTGACTAATGTTCTCTCTCTGGCTGTAGTTAATACTAGACATTTCAAGTTAAAAAAAAACCCAACAACAAAAAACGGGTAGGTCAGTCTTAATCGTAGTATATGCTCTAGCTTCAGACAATTAGCAGTGAAGTGGCTTGTACTGGCAACATCTGGACATGCCTTGATAGCTAGTGTCCTTGAATTTTTTTTTTACTTTTTGTGCCAGTTTATGCTTCTGGGCTGTGTGACATTGTCACGTTGTGTTCCACAGCTTGCATGCTGTCCAAGGAAGGCTGGACATCTTTTTCTTATGCGGTAGGTAAAGAGAGGGATGTGAGAAGAAATGCAGACAAACCAAGTGAGTTAATGTTGATCTAACGTTGCAGTAGGTTAGGTGGCAGACTGTTAGTTCACAACATTTTTACTTATAAACTGATTCTTCTGTAGAGATTCATCACTTTGATCTCCATGTTTGCATTATGGATAAAGCAATAGATTCACAGTTCTTTTGACAAGTAGTTATTTGACAGACAGTGAATTATTTTGTTCAGCAATAGTGAACTGTTTCTCTCTAGAAGCCTTTTTTCTTTACTTCCTTTTTCTGAAGAACAAAAATAGAATCTTAACTCTTGGTGTTTTCCCTTACCCATTTCTATCTGACTTTAAAAGAAGCCTGTGCTGCGAATGTTAATCTTCGATGGCCTAGATAAAACACTTAGTCTCCAAAGTGAGGTTCTTGTTTGTTTTTTCTTCATGTTTGCTGCTTCATCTAATCAACGACTTTCTGGCTGTCTACATCTATTTTCACTTCCTTAATTTCATATTGCTGTGTGTTGTACTTAAGGTCTTTGTAGTATTCCCTTTCTAATATTTTTCTCAAGCTTTTAAAGTCTAGAGGAATACTGCAAAATACTTGGTTTGTTCTTACTTGTGCTACAGGTAGGTACTACATTTGTTTTCCCTTACAAACTGTGAATAGGTTGTGGGTTTAGATTTTAAGACCCATCATCTACAGAACCTACCATCTCACACTGAGCTTTAATATAGATTAGATGGGAGGGACACAAAGTAATAGCTTATGGCACAAGATACTGAAGTTATTCTGGGTGTGCGTTGTTCTGTGAATCCTATTTTCAACTGCCTAACCCTAATCAAGGTTTTCCAAGTCATGCTAAAATGGATTTTTACAGATTATTTTTTTTCCAGTGTCCGAATATGTTTGTTACAAATCTGTTAAAGAAGTGTGGTTGTTAGTTGTTATTATAATGGAAATGTTATGTCACAAAAAATGGAAAGGTTTTTTTCTGTTTAGCATATTATAATGACAAGAAAAATCTTCTATACAATGTCAGAAATTTGGTGAGGCAGCAGCTGGACAAAACACCTTCTCAGAAGATGAAAGAGGTGATGATACAAGTATTAGTGGCATTACTGAATGTGTTCTTTATTGCTGCAGAATAGGTACAGCTAGATCTTCCAACTCCATGGTCTAATATCTTAAATGACAGACGTAAAACCAGAACATGATATAGCTAATTGAGCTTAAAACATGACAAATTTTCTAGTTTTCTTTCAACTTGTTGTTGAACACATTGCCTCTTGCAGGTCACTGAAAGAAAATGTTAACTCCTGTGTGTAGATCCCAGAGATGGCAGGGAAATACGGTACAGGCTGAAAGAAATGCCTCTTGGTTGGGTGAAAGAGGTGGATGTTTGTTTTGTTTTTTGGGGGTTTGCCTTTTTCCTTTGGTTCAGTATATTTCATGCAGACCAAAATACTTGTTCTTTATGCCCACATGCTGAACATTCTGTTCAAGATACGTGAAATGAATCACCTAAATAGAACAGGAAGCTATAATACCGGGGGAGGAAAGAGGGACAGCTTTGTATTCACCTTACTAAAATATATACTGTATAATAGAATGTGTTATTCTAATTTAGGACACTTGCAGAAATTTGGTGATGCTTTTGTGTCATGCTTCTTTCCCAAGTATGCTAACACCTATTAATCAGAAAGCTTTAAAACAATGTTTTTGTCATATTTGCATTGCTATCTTTAAGTTTTGTATTTCTTCTTTCTATGTCTAGGGATAGAGCCCAAGTTAAACATCCTTGAAATTGTGAAGCCTGTGGAGACTGTGGAGGTAGTGATTGATCCAGATGCTCATCATGCAGAGGCTGAAGCTCACCTTGTTGAGGAAGCTCAAGTGATAACCTTGGATGGAACAAAACATATTACAACAATTTCAGATGAGACCTCTGAACAAGTGACACGATGGGCTGCAGCGTTGGAAGGCTACCGAAAGGAGCAGGAGCGCCTTGGAATACCCTATGGTAATGCCACATGGCTCTGTGTGTGTGTGTGTGCTGAGGTGCGGGCTGGTTATTTTGTTCATTTGGGGGGTTGGCCTTTTTGCATAAATTATAATTAATTGGTTGTATAATTAAAGTCCTCTGATACCTCAGAGAAGGCTTGTTATGGCATGGGTGAGTACAATGCAAATAACTCTGCATAAGAGACAGCTAAAGAGAAATAGAATCAATGCTTGTAATAGTTTTATTAAAATAGTGCATTTTGCTCCAGAACCTTCTTGTCATTGCAGTTTTTAGAAAGCAGTTTTCTTCTTCCTCCCCTCCTTAAAAATGTGTATGTTAGTGATGAAGGTCTTTTTCACGTGTGTCTGAATTTGAACTAGACTCGGTGGGGGTTCCCTCTAAAGAGACTGAAACAAATTGTTCATAGATTGTGGGATGCTGACTATGGTATAACATCAGATTTTGCATGGAAAGCCATACTTGGCTTCAACATAGTGGAAAAAGATCATTCAAACCTGAATATCACTACTCTGGTAGATCATCGTCTCTTGAATTGATGTTGTTACTTGGCAGGCTGCTAATTTAATGTTAGCTTAGAAAAAGCATCTCTGAATCCTTGCTCAGGATTGAGCTGAAACTGTGGGTTTTAGACCTACATCACGTTCAGGAGATTATCCAGCTGAGTTGCTTGTTGTGACTTGAAGAAATGTACTGTCAAGGCATATTCAGCACATGAAGCTGCAGTATGTAAGCAGACCTGCAAAACTGAAATGTATTTGGCAAGTGGGATATTTGGAAGTGTTTAAGACTTCTAGTAAAGTCACAGGTCTTCTTTGCAGGACATGTAGCTTGACAATATTTTGAATGTATTTTTGGTAACTAAAGCAATGGCTCTTTCATGCCTTTTTCTTGCTCTCACTGACAAGCATTTCCAAAATGGCTTTCATCACGCTATACCTGTTGATAATCGGGGATTTGACACAGAATGTTCCAAAAAAAGTGAGGCGTTATCAGGAGCAGACTGACATTCTTCAGCATGCTCTCCCATTAATATAAGAAGGAAATTCCTTAAAACCATGTTGTTGTTATGTTGAGTAATGTTGTTAATAAACTTTAATAATGTTGCTGCTTTAAGAAAACCCTGTAACCCACAGATGTGACTTTGAAAGTTTAGTGTCTTTTGTGTCATGGGAGTGTAGATTTTCCAGGAAAATCATACCAGTTGATTATGGCAGAGATCTCTGTATTGAGTATAACAGTGGTCTCTTGATATCAGAAAAATGTGCTAAACGGCCTTCTTAGAAAGAGTAGAATTTTTAAATGTTATCTGAGTTGATGTTGCGGGGACTTGGGTTGAAATAAGGCCACCACTAAGTTCTATGTTACGATGCAGTTGGAAGTTTCTGAGAATAAAAAATGTTCTTAAGATTCTTAGGTAGTCTCCCAAAACCAAAAAAGCCTTTTTTTTTTTCTTTTCTCAACATTTACAAATATACATCTAAAAAAAAAAAAAATAATAGAAAAAGAGGCCAGTTTCCTTCAAAGAGTTGTGAGGCTTGGTTCTATGAATTTATCTGAAATTATTCATCTGGAACTATTCCTTCAATCTTTTGAAAAGCAAAGGATTACATTGCATGACTTTAGGTAGCATCAGTGAAAAATGGTGCAATGTTACTGTCCTTTATTAGGCAAAATGGAGTTTGTGGCTCCTAGATAATGTTTATAGACTTAGGGGAAAAAAAGGAGAGAAAGAAAGGAAAAGAAAAAAAGAAAAAGTGATGTGAAAGCAATCACTCACCTCCAGCAGGCTGATGCCCAGCCAGTCTCCATGCAAGGGCTACTTTGGAAAAACTGCATTTTGGTTTTATTGCTACTTTTGATGTCATATGGTATGGAATGTCCCTTTGGTCAGTTTGGGTCAGCCGTTTCCCCTCTCAGCTTCTTGTGCAGCCCCAGCCCACTCAATGGGGTGGCCGAGTGAGAAACAGAGGAGGCCTTGCATTGCAGTCCAATACTCTCTGACCAGGTTCTTTTAGACACTCCACGCGTGGAGGGTGTAATGTTTAATATCAAATTTACTTGGAGATGATTGATGTTATATGGGATTTCTGATTTAGCAGAGCGATACGAATTGTAGTAAAAATACAATACAAAGGTAAGTTACGCTTAGAAAAATACAGCGATTGCAATATGTTTGATCACAATAGCAATGTGATTCCCATTACAGGTCTCTATAATGTGCTCACCATCACGATATTGGGTGTCCCTGGTCGCCAGGAAGGAATATGTGGGCTGAAACCAGCTCAAGCTGTTTCTGTGTTCGAAATTCTTTTGCTAATTGTCCAGTTTGTGTGCTGTGTGTTGGGCTGAGCCACATGTTCGTGGTTTGGCTGACTCGGGGAGGCATTTACACCACCCATTGATCCACTCAGTTGTTGGTATCTGTTTATCTAAAACAGAGGCCACCTTCCAGTCTCCTTTTTGTTGAGATAAAGTCATTATCTCAATTTGCAGTATTTTCTGAGCTGCATGGGCACTTCACCGTTCCCATCTCTTCTGAGCCTTCTTCCATTGTAAGGGTTTATTCTGTGAGTCATGTTCTACCCCAAGGGTGTTTGTTAGTCACTACACCTTGACTCTGTGCAAGTACTGCTCTACAGTAGCTAAAAAGTCTTGGTCACCAACCTAAAGCACAGCACTCTATGGGCTTCGGTGAAGAAAATAAACTCCATCCCAGCCAAACCCAATATGATGGTGATTTTTGATAGTTTAGAAACTGGGACAACGTGAATGAATTTAGAATGTAATACTTAGTTATAATCACATGCTGATCAACATATTTGAGGAAAAGCATCCTTGTGTTAGAGACACTACTCTTTTTTTCTTGAAACTAAAGTCCTATGGAAAAAGAAAAATAATTATTTTCTGTGTTTGAGAAATGTCAGGTGTAGTTCTGATGTAAAAGCTTTTGCTGAAGAAAATCCCTTTTTTGCCCTTTCCATCTCCCCACCAAGCCACACCACTCCATCAGGATTTTAAGAGGAGTCAACTTTCCATCCAGTCAGATTTGGTCATGGTAACTAGGCTTCTTGATGTTATGTATTTACTTTTATGGAAGTGATTATATAATTCTTGCAGTATATAACAAGATGACTTGCATTTTCCTCTCTCTTTTCCCAGACCCAGTGCAGTGGTCGACAGACCAGGTGCTTCACTGGGTGGTGTGGGTGATGAAGGAGTTCAGCATGACTGACATTGACCTCAATGCACTCAGTATTCCTGGGCGGGAGCTCTGCAGCCTCAGTCAAGAAGACTTTTTCCAACGCGTCCCACGGGGAGAAATCCTCTGGAGCCATTTGGAGCTTCTTCGAAAGTGTACGGGAGATTCTTCTGTAACTAATTTTACTTATTCCCCCTCCTCCTTTGTCTCTTTTTTTTGTATTTCTTTCCTTCTTTTAAGATGAACCCAATTCTGAGCAGTTGTTCTTCCTGTGTTTAATATTGGCAGTAAAAATTAGGGCATCAATACAAGATAACAGGAGGTATTAGTGAGAATGTCTGCTGTTATGAAACATGTCTGCATACTAAACACTGTTTGCCTGTCTTTCATCAAATTTCATAACTAATAGGGAGGAAGCAGTGACTGATGATTCCTCCTTTATTTTAATAAAGATTTTTAGTTTGTGCATCTCCTAAATTTGACAGTTTTATAATTAAATATTGATTGTAAGTTATTTAACGGACATCTCTGTGTCGTATAGAAGTGAAGCTTATTAAGCATAAGCAAAGAAATCCTCAGATTGTACACAACACAACTGATAAGTGATGCATTGTGTGTGCATAATACAATAATATGTGCAATCCAGATTTACCATGCTTGGATGTAACTTGGCAGGCTAAAAACTATTTGCATCTTCATTTACGTGATACATCTAAAGGGTTTAGGGGATGAAGAATGCATAAAATACCTTGAAATGCACCATGTACGTCCTGATTTCTAAAAATTGAATGACAGATGTTAAATATCTCTAGTCATAAGAGCTATGCATGTCCCTTGCAAACTGATAGCCAATTTTGACATTTTTCCTTTATGAAATATGAAAGTTTTTGATCTTCAAGTGACTTGAAATTTGTGGGTTAAATAAAAACTTCTTTTTTTTCCTAATTTGCAGATGTGTTGGCTAGCCAAGAACACTCTGGAGAAATAGCAACTGTTACTATTGATCAGCGTAAGTACTTCTGCCAGCAGTTAATTCACACAATTAACTGTTTGCAGGTTTAGCACTCTACTTTGGTTCAGCGCTATAATAGTAAAATATTAGAAATTCACTTGAGGGAGAATTTTTTCTTGGTGAGGGGAGGAAGGCATATTTTAAACTTCAAAGCAAAATGTTGTTTTTCTTGATATTTTGTTATTGTCTGAAAGGTGATGTATGACCTGAACTGTGGAAGTTTCTGACTTTCATTTTGTATGGTTGGTTTTCCACTCTCTTGAAATAAGCTGTCTAGGATACATATTTGAGATCTTGAGTTGTTCTGTTTTTTTACATTATATAGTGCATTAACGAATGGATATATTCAAATGTTGTAATTTCAAAAGAAAGCATTTCTGAAAATTGAAAGGGAGTATGGAAGAGCAGACTTGTTTAGGAACAAGTTCTAGTAAAGTAACTTTCCAGTTATTTGAAACTCATTCTTCCAGCTGAAGCAGTGTCATCAATTAAGAAAATGAATCCATTTTCAGAAGACTTGTAAGCGGCTTATATGTTGCATAGATAAAGCATGTATTATATCCTGGGTTTGTGTCTAGGTAAAGCCACCTAGAGCGTGGTGTTTACATCCTCTTACACCATTGCAATAGAGGAGTATTTGATTGCTGTTTGAATAGCAGGTATGGAGGGTTGTACAGTAATTATAGAGAAAAGTACATTAGAGTAGTTCATATGGGAACAGCATAAAGACTAAAAGGCATGAGAGGTTTTTTTTTTTACAGAAACATGTATTACACGTGTTAGTAAACTAAAGCTTTGTAATGTGGCGTCTTTGCTATGAGTCTAAAACCACAATTTCCACTGTAAAAGGTAAAAAGTCTTTAAATTATTCTTAGCATTGTGACTTACATAGTGTGTCATTTTAGCAAAGGAAAAGCTAGCTCCTAGATGTTATGATAATACAGGTAATAAATAATATATGCCTATTTCTGTGCCAGCAATTTATAATTGATGTTCTGCAATGTTCTCTGCTTTACAGCTGTGCAGATTATTCCAGCATCTGTACAGCCTGCTACCCCAACCACCATTAAAGTAATAAACAGCAGTGCAAAGGCAGCTAAAGTACAGAGAGCTCCAAGGATCTCTGGGGAAGATAGAAGTTCCCCTGGGAATAGAACAGGTACCGTCTCCATTATTTTTAAATGCAAATGCAGTAAACACTCATTAATTTGAATTACAGTTTTGTAGGACCTATCTTTTTCACTCTAGATGTGAGGTTTGTAGAAGTCCATGTGGTATGAAGGGGACCGTAGGTACAAAATGTATCACAAATACATGCAGACTTGGCAGGTTTGTCAGCTCATGCAGGCACTACATTAATGTGGTCCCACAGCTTTTGAGTCTTGCAGTAAATGAGATGCGTAGAATTATTTCTCTTCCTATCACTTAACAGTCTGTCCTCTCAAACCACTGCGTAGCATCTATTCAAGCTTTTAACTTCTTTCTGTTTGCAGAAGGGGGAGATAATAAACTGTATGATGTAGAATCCTAGCCTTGCTACTGCTTGCTCTACTTGTTTCCCACCCCTGGCCCTGCCCAATTTGGTGATGTTAGAATTTAGCAAGTTTAAGATTCCTATTTTGTTAAATGAATGCACCTTCTGGAAAACAGCGCACTGAATCTGCAGTTTAATTTTGGAATTACTGTTATTCGTAGATACTCTTTGATTATTAATAGCTTATCTTAATTTCTTTATCTTACTTTTTTCTTGCTGTCATTTTTCCTTTGGTTGTCTCCACTGTTGTGAATTTTTTCTGTTAAAACCTTTGCTCTCCTTTCCCTTGAATTTTTATTTGTTTTAAACTCTCCATAAAAGTCTATTATGATATCATTCAGGATTCCTAGGCCAAGATTTTATCGCTGACATCAGTGAGGAATACCCTGTCTTTCTCCCTTTAGACATTAGGCCTGCTATCTTTATCTCATTAAGAGTTTAGAAATTTAACTGCAGATATTTGAGTTAAAAAGAAATCTTAATGATTGGACATGAAAGGTGTTATATTGGCTTAAGCTGAAGTTCGTGGGGGTTGTTGTATTTCTAATATTAGTGTTGAAAATTGAAGACTAAACTATTTTTTAAAAAAAACCCCAACTTCTGTTGTATGCATATATATGCGTGTGTGTATATGCCTGAAGAAGAATAAGCAGCTCTTGCTAAATCTGTTCTATTTTAGGGTTAGATATGTGTCTAAGTGGATATGTTTACTGTTGTTGGGGTTTTTTTTCTTAAGTTCTGGGGACAGATTTATGAGAAATCCTGATTTATTTTTTTTCCCTGTGTTCATCAGTGTCTTTTTTCATAGATTAATACTGATGACTTTGCAGGAAAATGTTTACAAAAGAGTAATTAGAAGAAATTAATTAAGTGCAAGTTTTCCTTCCATCATGCATTCTATATTGGTCTACTTTAATATGTTGGTTGAAAATTTTTAGCTATGAGGGGAACATAAAAAGGACTAATTGAAATGGATCTTGTTATTCCTATTTCAACAGGAAACAATGGCCAGATCCAGTTGTGGCAGTTTTTATTAGAACTTCTCACTGACAAAGATGCTCGGGACTGTATTTCTTGGGTTGGTGATGAAGGAGAGTTTAAACTGAATCAACCTGAACTGGTTGCACAAAAATGGGGACAGCGCAAAAACAAACCCACAATGAACTATGAGAAGCTTAGTCGGGCTTTGAGGTAAGAAACTTTAGAAGCTGATCAGATATGCAGTGATTTGCTTCCATTTGGCTACGTTATTTTTAACTATCATAATGCAAGTCTTGCAGCTTTTTTTGGTAAAGGGATACACAGGTCTTCTGAAGCTACTCTTTCGCATCAGATCATACTAGTCTCAGGGGTAGGGTATTTGTTGGGGTATTTTTTTGTTCTTTTTTTTTTTTTTAAAGAAGCTAGTACAATAACTTCTTGAACGCTTGAAAATATATTTTCTTTTTTTCAAGGTTATTGAACACTGACATGATAGTTAATTTGTGTAACTCACTTTTAGAAATATATTTTTTTGATGCATCTTCAGCATTTATGCTTTCAGTAATATGCCAAACAATATTGATTATTGGTGAAAGATACAGAAATATGTGAATATTCTGAATTGCTGACTTAGTTTTATATTTTACCATTAACTTGTTTGTGTTCCTCTTGCTCTTCTTATGGTATAAAGTGATACTTTCCTGTAATTACGTAGTTGTTAGTAGTCTTCTGTATGTAAGAATTTTTACTGTATGTTACAAAACTTTTTCTAAGATCAAATATTCATTAATCCTTTTCATTGTTGTTATGGTAGGGGTGTTAAATTAAAAAAATGCAGTTGACAGGTAAGTTTCAACAGTTGTGATTCCAACATAGTTAACTTTTATTATCTGAAGAAATGAAGGCGTTTCAGTGTGTTATTATTCCATTATGATTTTGTACTTGACATTGGTAAAAGGGACTTGTATTACTGAATCACTGTAGGTGATGTGCTTGAGGAGGTGGAAGAACACAAGTACCTGAATTTTAGACTCTTTTTCCCTGAGTATTTTGGCCTCTGGAATCATTTGACAATTCATTGAAGTTCTCTGAAATCATTAAGCTTGAACTTCTGATTTTTTATTCTGGTACGGTTAAAGCTCTTTCTCTTGATTAATTTTCAAGGAAGGTATTTATTGCCTAATCCTGCAAACTGTTTAAGCAGTTTTAAGAATTATATCAGTGAAGTGGCATATGGTTGAAGTCTGAGGTCTGAGATCTGCTTTTCAGCATTTCCACTATTGGCGACACTATTTTTCTAAAAGGAAGTAAATTCATCTAACGTTGTTCAAAAAAAATAAAAATCAACTTCCATTAAAAAATACATCTATGAGAAATGATGGCAAAGTTACCATGTTCTGGCTTTCTTTAGTCTTTTGGGGAAGATTTCAATAACATCATTATTCGTAATGCTGAGTAAGTACTTTCACTGGGGGAGAGCGAAGTCTAGAAGACCATGAACATCACAGAGTCAGTATAAAATGACTACTCAGGATCTCATTTGCATGAACAGGAGGAATCAGAAGAAACTGGCAGGCACCGGATACACGCTTAACTATATCCTTTTGTTTTAGTTTGTGCCTAACTTCTTTAGGCATGGTATGGTGCATGCCAGAATTACGTTATGAGTTTAAGAGGAAAGCGGACAAATTAATGAAAAAGAAATATTTTGAAAGATATTAAGTATGGAAAAATGCAACTTCTAGCCCCAGATATTTGAAAGTCAAGAACAGTGTCATTATGTGCTTGCTCTACTTTCATGCTTTTCCTTAGGCATTTAGGCATCCGCTTTTGGTCTGTTGGAATCTACAGCCTGTTCTAGGTAGATCTTCAGTCTGGTCTTGTATAGCTGTTCTTACATTATTTATATACATTAAACTAGAATGCTATTTTTTTCATAGGATCACAGAATCCCTCGTAGGAAGGGCCTCAAGGAGGTCTCTGGTCCAATCTCCTGCCCAAAGCAGTAGGGCTGCTCCCCAGCCTGTATTGTTGCAATGCCATTCCCATACTTCCAACCTGTTTTGTGAATCTATGCATTTGTGTACTGAAGGTATATGTGAAAACTTTCTGGAATGTAAAAACGATGTAAATGATGCTAATGTTTTTGGGTTTTGTCAACAAACTCCGCAGAAGATCTCAAAGGCAGCTGAAGAACTTTTGAATAATGTTCTTATCACTGGGATATTAAACAGATGTCTGCACAGTAATTTGCATAAATCACTATTAGAGAAGTTTTGCATTTATATTTTAGTCGCAGAATTACAGAAATCACATTTCTCAAAATGTTGCCATTTTGGCAGCTGCATCAATATTGACATGTTTTCTAACACTTGAATGTCTGAAGGGATATTAAATGCCTCTTGCTACTCCCATGATGAACACTGTTGTCAAGCTAAAGTTTTATTAAAACAAAAACAGTAATATGTTTTGTTTACTAATGTGCTGAAATTAGTGTCAATTGGTGATTAATACAGAAGAAGATGTTGATATTATTGGGAAATGTGCTAGATCTTCTGCCCAGCTGTAAGGAAATCAGGCAGTATAGAAACTAGGGTGGGGTGAAAAAGGGAAGAGCAGCTTTTTTTATTATATACACCTTGGTAAATTTTCTAAAATCAACATCTGTTTAATTATCCACTAGGGAAGTGAGACTTGAAGAAAATAATTAATTTCCTGTACAGTTTTCCATTAGAGCTGGAAGACAAAAGTTAGTCTTTTAATTAACGTAATTTTGCTGGTGAATGAGAATTATCTTTGCTTTACGAGCATGTCACTTAGAGGACTGAGCTTTAGACAGTTAAGAAATCTGGGATGTTTTGTGTGACATGCTGATTTGGGTGATAATTTTGAGGAAATAAAATTGTGTGGGTGGTTTGGTTTGGTTTTGTTGTGGTTTTTTTTTTTGGTTGGTGTGTTTTGGGGTTTTTGTGGTTGGTGGTTTTGTGTTGGATTTTGGGGGGGGGGTTTGGTTTGGTTTCATCTGGTTTTTGTTTGGTTTGTTTGGGGTTGTTTGGGGTTTTTTTGTTTGTTTTTTTTTTTTTTCAAATTTATCACAAGCTTGTTAAGCTCATCAGGTCCCAGTTATGTCCCAGCCACTTGGGTTTTCTTAATGAGAAATGTAACGTGCATTCTATTAAATGCCTGCAGTGAGAGAACAGCAACAAAACTGTAGAATTCTAACCTATGTTCTGTTGATCTTACCTGAAGATTTATAATGTCTTTGGAGTACAGTGGGTCATACAGACTTTATGTCACCTTTACTGCATTTCTGCTCGGTCTGATAACTCTTCTGTGACACGTTGTAAAAAGTATTCATAGTTATAGAAGTCACTTTTACCTGTAAATAAAGGCAAAGAATGTCGTTTTGCCAGCATATGAACTATACAAAAAAGAAAAAAGCAAACCATGCTTTTATATCTTTACTTTCATCTTTGGAAACAACAGGCAGAGAAGGCTGCTTTAGTATAGAAACCACTCATTTTCAAACTGTTTCCATCGTGATGTTTTCCTCAAAAAAGCAGAGACGAGTAAAGAAAGCGAAAGACAGTAATGAGGGGGGAAACAGCATTTTCTTTTTAAGGCAAAGCACTATATAAAACTTACATGCACACACATCCCCCCTCAGCTGTTTTTAAACTGGTCAGAGACCTTCATTTCTGAACTGGTGCTTCCTACAGCTTATCAAATAATTACTGTGTTTTGTTTCTCCTTAACATATCAAGGTAGATGGACAACTTTCAACCCTCTTCCCTTGGTATATGAAATTATATGAGAATCATGACGGGAAAAAGATTAATACTTTGGCCTCCAAGTGACCTCAAGTAAATGACTGATGCGTATGAAAGTTACTGATGCTGGAAGTTTACTTATTTTCTCTCTTTTTTTTTTTTTTTTTTTTTACAGGTATTACTATGATGGAGACATGATCTGCAAAGTACAAGGCAAGAGGTTTGTGTACAAATTTGTCTGCGACTTGAAAACTCTCATCGGATACAGTGCAGCAGAGTTGAATCGGTTGGTCACAGAATGTGAGCAGAAGAAACTAGCCAAGATGCAGCTCCATGGTATTGCACAGCCAGTTACCGCGGTGGCGCTAGCTACAGCATCCTTGCAAACAGAGAAAGATAATTAAGCAGTAGGACCTGAAAGTGGGAGCCTGAGGCCTTTCCGATATAACCAGCGCAGCTGCTGCTCTTTCCTTTATCAGAGTTGGAAACTTCTTTTGTTTCCTGACAGTACAATATAGCGCATGATTTTCTACAAAGAACTGGGACTCACATAAATTTGGATCTTTTAACAGCGTATATTTCAGTATAAGTTAAGGGATCACCACAACATCTGCAGCTTTGAGTCAGGGCCTCTGTGGTATGCGATCTGAAATTGGTGAGGAAGGTCAAAGTGGTCAACACTCTGCGTCCACAGCTGTACAAAAAAATTTTTGCAGCGCTTTTTACAAAAATGAAGAACCTACAGCGAGCAGGCTGATCCAGTTGTCTGAACTCAGTCCTTTCCAGTCTTTTGTTCTCTGCTGAACTACCAAATGGCATTTGATGCTTTCCAAGTTAAACATGCTCATTATTCTCATTTAATCAAGCAGAGCTGAAAGACATATTAAATGTTACAAAGCATCAGGTTCTTAAAATAGCTTCTGTGTTTATAAGCAAAGGAATCTAAGACTAGACCGAACTGAAGATCAGTGCTGAAGAAGGAGATCCAGGTTTAGATCTGGCTTCGGTGAAAAGCCAATTATGAGTATTTCATTGTAATATGTAGATAATATGCATATATGAGGGCAAGTACTTACCTGTTTTGAAAGACATTGTTAATGCTAGCCATTTAGCAAAAAACAAAGATAAACTTCTTCCCCCGTTACCACCCCCCATCAGGTGATTTGAAAACTTGAAAAAGTAGCCCTCGCCCAAAGAGTAGGTTGTTTTGGTGGGGCGGGGTTTGATGCTCTTCTGCAAGGAGCTTATACCTGCGAGGTAGTCAGCCTTGGTCACTGAAGACTTAAGTTAATCACAGTCAGTAGTCCCTGTTTAGAATCAAAATGCAAGTTGAAAATAGAGAGAACTGAAGTTTGATTTCCAAATTATTGTACAGTCTGACGTATATAAAAATTCAAAGATGTATTTTTTATTTAAAAAGAATTTCTTTTTGAACTTCAAGTGATGTTTTTGAAGCTTCATAAACCAAGTGCATGCTCCAGAGCCAGGTGCAGTTCGAAGTCTGGGTGGTGAATGGAAATAATTGGAATGTGTCCTGAAATCTGAGATATGGGGAGTCCTTCATGCAAACTTACACATGCAGTAGAAAGTAGGCTGCAACTTTTGAGCTTCTGTACTGATGCCTGTTAGACTCTTTCTTTTGATGGCTGAAAATTGTGCAGTTTTGATTTTGGTTTTGCTGCTACATTTTATTAAACAGTATAAATATTATGTCGCCATGCATCTTTGTCCGATATTATATAAGAGAACCCCCTTGTGGTAACACTTAACGATTAAAATGCAAATGGCTGAGGGAAAACCTTTAATTCTGTGAGGGATCGAGCTACTCTTAAACCTTAGATCAGAAGTACTTGTACAGTGAGTTTCTAAACATAAAATGTGTTTATACTGAGTAGGGAGAGCACTGGACTGTTTCCTTGATCTGAAAGCAGGCCAAGGACAAAGAACACAGGAGACTCATGTTTATTTTAAAGATGCATCGAGGACAAAACTTTTTGTTTATAGGTGGATGTTTATCTGCAGATAGCTTTTGCTTAACTAGAAATCTTGCGTCTAGTTATAGCCTACTTTTTTCATCATCACCGCGATTATTTTTTTTTTTTGCTAGATGCAATATTGTTTTCACTCTTGAGCTCTTAAAGCACTCTGTTTACTGAGCATGCTGGTTTTATTTTGTTTTTAAAAAAATCTTAAGCCCTGAGCAAACTGTGTAAATGCATCTGTCATAAGGTCAGTCATCAATCCATTTATTACTGTTACAGTCGTCTGATTCTACCAGTTGGCAAGTGGTTGAGGTGACTTACACAAATAGATGCAGGTTTGCTTGCGAAGAATAAGATGAAGCTGAAAGTTTGGTGGCAGCAGCTATGTGTATCACACCGCTCCAGTACTAAACAGAAGTTCAATACAAGTCACTGGTTATATTGAGCAGCATTCATGAGAGGCCTTTTTAGTTAAAATACAGTACGAAAAGAAGAGAAGCGTAAAATATCAGCTTTCTAGGTCAAACTGGACTGTGGGAGGATAAACTAACAGCAAAATTGAAATGTAATGTCAATGCTTTATCCCCTTGACTGTTTTTGTTACGTAAGCCCTCTAGGGGAAATTTCTGATATCACACTTTTTTTGTAAATACATCTGAATTCTTACCTCGCAGCTTTTCAGTAGGTATGATAGTCCTTTGGGTTCTTCCTTGTGGCATCATCTGCTTTTCCACCGTGTTCTAATTAGTAAAGAAGGAATCCTTCAAACAGTATAAGATTACTGTCGCATTCTCTGTAGTTGAGGGAGAACTCTGACTAACTTGATGTCTTCAATAAAATAAAAGATGTAGAATATATTGTCAAAGGTTGTTCTGTTGCTGCCAGAAGGAAAACATAGAAAGAATATTCCCAATTTTTTGTAAAACGGAAGGTTTTTTGCATACTTTTTACTCTTTAAATAAAGACACTTATACTCTGCTAATAATTATGTATTTCTTTTGTGTTTTGCATTTTTTTGGTAATTTTACATGAAACAATTATTTTCTATTTTTACTCTGATAAAATATTTGTGCATAAAATGTCAATATAGTAAAATAAAAATGTTATACAGCTAATGCCTCTTGATTTCTTAATTTTTCAGAAAGCTGTTTGTAATCTCATTCAGGTGCAATCAGTTTAAAGGTTAACAGATGCGCTTTACTCTCATTACTCTCAAGATTGCAAGCTCGTTACAGGAAGAAGGCAGACTGTCTTATTTTCTGAAGATGCATCTTTGGGTCCTTGGCTGTGTGTTTCTGGTTTTGACCTGGAACTTGGTGTCCTTCATGTCTTATTTTCTGAAGATGCATCTTTGACTGGGTCCTTGGTTGTGTGTTTCTGCTTTTGACCTGGAACTTGGTGTCCTTCGTTACTGTAACTGCTTTCTTTAACATCTTAATTGGAGGTCTCAAAATGGTGCTTTGATAAAAATAATGATGGAAGCGTAGCAGTAGAGTGAAACGGAGCCCTGTAAAATATTTCGGTTTATGCTTGTAAGAGTGTTTAAATTTGAAAGGTTCATGTTGACCTGTAAACTTTGGACTTTGTTTCATTCTTGCAAATAGCCCCACTTATTTCTTGTGGCCCGCTAACTCAATTGTTAGTACTGTCCTCGTTAAAAGGAAGATAACATTCTGATTATACTGTTATTACCTTATTTTTCAATCGTGTCTCAATTGGAATATTCTCATTATACCTCTGAACTCCTCCATCTGGACTGTCAAATTTAAGCCTGAAATATTTTGTCATCTTTCAGCCTACCAGATCACTTGGTTTCAAAATGTTTGTTTAGCTCAGCAGCAACAGCATGAAAGGGACTGAAAATAACTTTTCAGAATATTTCAGTAATTTGTTGGCCACCTATAAAGTGCATTTACAAGTGTTCAGTATCTTATTGATTGAGGACTTTTTATTTCTGTTTATAGTAATTTGTTTCTTTATGCCAGTGAGAGTTTGTTTTGGGATTCCCATTCCCATACCGAGATTTTTGTTGGAACAATATAGGGAATTACAAACTAACAGCTTCCAACTATCGGTCTTAAGCAAAATACGCTGACCTGGGGCTCCATTGCCTGAGAGAGAAAGAAAGAAGGATGATGGAAGGTCCATTGACATAGGTTTATGGGGAAATCTTTTTTTTAAGAGTGTTACGTAAGATCCATTCACAGAGGTCTATGGAGAATATTTTTACTGACTGGACCGGGAGGGTTTGTTTTTCAAGATCATACATATTCTTAAAGGCTGTGGGTTTAATATAGCCGTATCAGGAGTTCTACGATACATTTGGGTTGATGCTGTGTAATTTTTCTTTTGGAAAAGTAATTCTTAATATGGTTGATGCTAAACAGAATCCTCCTTGATAATCACAGGAGCGGAATGATGACTGGTGTCGAGAGTTGTAATGTGGGACTCCATACATTTAGACGTATTGTGATTCAATTATATTTTGCATCTTTGTTTCAGGATCGGAGCCTGCAGCATCTCATTGGGCACCAAACTGAAATTTTATCATCGTGTAATTTGAAACTAAGGTTAAAAAAATCCTGAGGAGGGAGGAAAAAATATTGAGTGTGCTTTTAATTAAAATTGTTCTTTACTCATGGAACCGGTCTTCTGGAAACTGAGATTAAACGGTGCTACTGGCAGTGGTATTGGAAGATATGTTTGTCACCCATCAAACAGCTCTCATGTACCTGGAAAAACAGAGGAATCTGTTATTGTGGTTCATGACACACAACATCTGTGTAGGTTCTTTTTGTAGGTGGTGTCGCCATAACTGGCTATGATGGGAAAGAAAGGATCTGAAAGTAATTAATTATTGATCATCATTGTAAGCAACTTACTCATGCAGTTACTTAATAAAAATAAAGGCAGTTTAAGAGAGAAGAAAACTGCATCAGAAATAGTTGAATCCTCATGTAAATAGTTGTCTCATTACCAGAAACAGCTGAAACTACCTGCAGTGCATTAGTTTTAAATTGCCCATCAGTTCTCGCATTGTAAAACAACTGCTGGGCAGCAGATAGTGATGAAATTTCAGTTTGTTCTTTACAGTGACTTTCAGGCTGCCAGAGTTGGAAGTCGTCGTTCAGAAACAGCGGGGAAAAACACTAGTTTAGCACAGCTTTGATTTGGTGAGTGTGAATACTTGTGGAAATGTTTAATTTTGTCTGTTGAATTGCTTCGGGTATGCGCTACTAATGATCTAAGTGAGCTGGGAGGCTTTAGTGTTAAAAAAAACAAACAAACAAACAAACAAATGCCAGCACTGTCCATAATAGATCTCGTATCTTAAGACACACATTTTTTTTCTTAGCTTTGCAACCTGCCTTCCAACCTAAATGGAAGAAATTAGCATTTAGGAGCCGTATTTCTAGTCCCGAGTGGGACTATCAGAATTCACTAATCAAAGTAGAATACTGCCATCTCAGCAGACAAAAAACAAATTATATGAATTAACTGATACATAACATAATATATATTATCAATCATAACTGAAGCAAGCAAGGATGGCACTAAACAAACTGTTTCTTAGAAATCAGAAGATTTTTTGTTTATTTGAAATTCTTCCCACTTAGGGAAAGGTATTTTGGGATGAAAAAATGTTGGTTAGCTGTTTCCCCCTTCATCCCAGTAATCCTAGGTTTTTCAATACTCTCATTTTCAAGGACTCTGCAGGAACTGCTTCGTGGGAACTGGGTTT